ACAGAGAGAAGAGGAGAAGGTGGGTGGGGATCTGTGGTGATCTCTTTACAAGATCACACTCTCTTGTAAATGGTCTCAAATGGCTCTGGTAGGGTGCTCTAAACAGCCATTCCTAAGTGCTAAGTTCTCTCTACCATATTATTTTATTTTAGACTTCTGCAGTTTAAGATCAACTTAATTTTTGGGCTGATCTGTGCTATTAAAGATACTCTTCTTGCAGCCATCTTTTTTTTTTCTTTTTGGGCTTGTTTGCTGGTATAGGAAAAGTAGTATGTTGGTTGTAAGATGGGTTTAATCCTTATTAATGCAGTTTCTTAAATTTTTCAGCTCCTTGAGGCATCTTTGAGCTGCTTGGATTTTTGGCAGAGGATTAATGTCAATAAGAAATGTAAAATCAGGATGTCACAAACCTCCTCATTCCTATGCTGTCACACCATGCTGCTCCCCAGAGAAGGGAGGCAAGGGAGACAGCATACCTCTAGGTCTCAGTAAGGAAAAAGGAAAAGGTTAGTTTAGATTTTCTCCCTCCATAAATGTCTGTGTCAGGGCTAATGAATCAGCACTCAAGGGCTTCAGTTTGTATTTAATTAATAACATTGGTAGACTTTGTGCCTTCTGTCTAACCATGGATGCTTTTGATCATCAGCAAACAGAAGATAGAAGTCATGCCAGAACAAATAAATAATTTATGTGTGGTTTAAAAAAAGAGAAAGAAGCCATTCCTGCCCCTTTACAAATGCAATGTGCACAGGTTCTGCACATCATTAGGTTCTAGCACTGTTTGGGCTTTTTTTTTCTTTCAGCTTTCAGTTTTCCAGCACTATTGATTCTCCTTAATTAAAGAATAAACAAAAGCACATATCAGCTTAAAGGAGAATCTTTTTAAAAAAGGGAAAATCTGAAATATAAGCTCACAGTGGAGTTTAGTGGCTACCAGTCTGCTTTTCCTTGGTGTTGTGGCTCCTTAGAAATGTGGTCCTGTCTCTCCTTTACTCATTCAGGAACTTGACCTTTTCTTCATCCCTCCTTGCTGAAACCAAAGACACATAAATTAGTTTATTCATTTTACCTTCTCTGAGATGTAGCTTTTTCTCTTCTACATGTTTATGTATTAATTGCCTGGAAAGCAGCAGATAAGGAGTAGGGAGCAGATTCTAGTCAAGATTCAATGTCTAAAATTGTCCCATAGCTACCTTGCACAGTGGCTGCAAGATACTTTGGGAAGTTAGTGCTGCTTATGCTGAGTACTTCAGTGCTCATCACAGAGGAGTAACTGTGAAGTGGCCTCAGTATCAGGGACAAAATGGAACGGCTGAAAATCTTGGCTGGGGAGCTTCTGGCAGGCTAACTCAGCCTTCAGAAATGCTTTGGGGTCACAACTCTTCTTGTCAGGGTGGAAAGAACTGGAAATATAATGTTTTGTCACATAAGCCAGAGTCCCATAGGAACAAATATATATCACATTTTTGTGTGATTATAGATTTCTGTTTAAGAACAATTTCTGGCAGAACGTTTGCTTCCTTTCGCTGTGCATGGTGACAAATTGTTTGAGATTTTATTACTGTCTTTGTATGAGGAATTCAAACTTGAGAACTGGGAGAGATTTGTTTTGTACCTCACAATTATCATGTCAAGCATTTAGTCCATTTAGATGTCATTTGTCTTTTAGCAGGGTATGCCATTCAAACAAGAGATTTGTTTGAATTGATGCTTGGCATTTCTCTCTCAAATTACACTGGTCATAAGTGTGTGCCACAAGCAGCCAAATTCCTCAACTTTTCAGGCTGTCACATGCAATGAGATTGCATTATGGAATTTGGGGCAGAGAGGAAGGGCTTAAAATTTAAAACTAAAAAATTGACTATTTCACTTTCTGTGCCATTTTCTTAAGGAGCACAAACCTATTTTGGGTCTGGAGCTGTGGTTGCCAGTGAAGCAAACCTGCCTTTAGGCAGCTGTGACAGGCAAAATGCAGCATCCAGTACTGAGCTACTTGGTACATGCAAAGTTTTAACATCATTCAGAAACATTTGCTTGTTCTGTTGACAAACTCCCATGCATTCCTTTGAGTGTATTTTACGTGCTCTGCAGAGAGCATTCCCATGGCCTGTTTGAGGCAAATCCCAATATTTCCTGGAGGGTCCTGGAATACGCCAGATGCAGTTCAGAGCTGAGACAGAACAGCCATGCTCCTGGAGAGTCTGGCAGACAGCACTTCCCTGTCACTGCTGGACATCAGCTCTGGCTTGCTCTGATTTATTGAGGTGGCAAAGCACATGAGCTTACAGCATTCATAATTCCTTAATATTTCCAAAACTGAATTACTTTCAAGATTTATGGGAGCAAAATATCTTCTAATTGCTCCCTTTTTTCCCATATGGATATAATATTTCCCCAAAACTGTTCTTCCTCCTTCTTAAATGATACAAAAGCATGAGTTAAAAGTCGGTTTCTATGGCCCTGTATACAGGAGTATTAAATATTACCAAATAATAGTAGCTAGTCGGAGGCTATTGTGTTCTTTGCTAGAAAAATCCCTATATTTACTTGTAGCAAATACAATTGAAAGGCCAATGATCATTTCACTTTCTTTGGCATCACCTTGGTGCCCTGGTTGTCACATGCAGAAGTGACGCCATAGAGCATTAGATCAGTCATGCCTTGAGCGTCAGCTGATTTCTGGGAGTCCCCTGGGGTCCAGGGAGTCTTAGGAGGATCTGACTTCCCTCCTGGTTTTACCAGCCACGTTTCACAAATGGAAATCTGCATTAAGGAGGGGCACTCCCTTAGTCCACATCAGACTGCTGTAAATTGTCTTTCCCAGATGTATCACTTGCAAACAGGCCAGTTATTTGTATGTATAAATAACACCAGCTTCTGAGTTAGGAACAACCTTATAGCCTGTACCTGCTTTCTCATGAAGCTGGTGAACTGAGCTGGCAAAGGTTTTATTTATGCTGCACCTCTGGAATCCTCTTGTTTCTTGAGAAGAGAATAAAACCTGCTCATATATGCATTTTCTGAAGCATCCATGTTTTTCCTGGAGACTGTGTATCACAGCAGCAACCAGAGTGCCTTGGTGACCTCACAAAGCAGCCCCAAGGTGCTGGTGAGCCCCAGGCAATGCTGTCATCCCTCACTGCAGCTGCTGCTCGGGGAGAACAGGGACCACTCTGTGGGACTGGCTTCTGCTGAGTAAAAGGGGTGGCTGTAGAGGAAGGGCTGTGAGCATCTATGCTGCAGCCCTTCAGGTTATAAAAGCTCTTGCATGACAGTCCTGCAAAGATTCCTCCTGTTGATGTTGAAAGGAAGTGGAGGTAAATCCTGGGCCCCCCCGGGAAACATAGTAATTATATGTTGGTGTACCAAGATGTGTGAGAAAACATTGAACTAATTTGTCAGGTTATTGAAGATTTTAGGATATTTTCAGAGTCAATGTGTTACAATTAATATTGTTTTGTTCTGTATTTGTTTTTAAATAGGCCTGTGGGTTGTTTTTACTTAAAAGCTTCAGAAGCTCTAATATATCTAATATACCTCCCCCACCTTTTCCCAGATAAAGTTATATATATACACTTTTGTAATTCTCAGCTCTGGAAAAAACATTCCTTACCTTCTAGATCAGCCATGCCATCTGTGCATCTTTCTTTTATGGTTATGATGATCTTATTAAAGATTGCAGAAGTGGATGTGAAGCAGTATGCATGGGTGAATCTGAGTGTTCTTGGTTTTTTTAAATTCTCTTGGTATCTTTCCCTTTTCCATAGATTTCTTCATCAGTGATTTACTGAGTATCTATGACAGGACTTCACTTGGATCAGTTTGTAGTTTGGATTTCATTCCATCCTTTCCTCAGTGTGCTATCTGAAATTGTTGCTCTGTACCTGGCTGTGGCATAGTGTAGATGAGTTTATCCTAAATCAGGTAGTTCGAAAGTTATCTGACTGCAGTAAGAGTTGTATGCCGCGTACAGAAACAGCCTGAAGGGAGAGCTAAACCCATGGGTTACATCTGTCCTGCTCCCATGTGTAGGTTGGCCAAGCTGGATCTATTTCAAGAGCATGTACCTTGCTCTGTAGTGGAGGTTTTTTCTCTGACTCTGAACATGTAGTACATTCCTTTTTGTGGTGGGATTGATTTTGATCCAGAACATCTCTGCTACTGTTTTGATATGATTGAATGAACAGATTTCTAATAGCATTAGCATACTTTCTGGTATATTTGATACACTCAGAAATGGTCCCATATGGAAGTTAATATTTCTGTGTTTGTTAATTGTTTCCTTTTCTCTGGCCACTGTAGTAATTGTTTCTAGAAGAGACAAATTTTTACTAGCTGCTGTGTTTGTGTGTTGAGGGTATAATTAGGATAATGTATTTCCATAATGACATGGTTAAGAAGGACTAGGTCTCTCTTTTGTAAGGCATTTTGGATAGATCATAACTGTTTGGTTTGGCAGGAACCTCTCTTGAATCATTTATGTGTTAATGAATGCTGAAGAAGACACTGAATTTCCATTTCCTTTCTCTGTAAACTACAAGCTGCTTCACGATCTCCTGAACTGTTTTCTTGCCTGTGTGGTGATAGCTGCTGTTTATGTGCACAAGTGAGGCCAAAGCAGACTCCTTACACACTCACACAGACAGAACATAAACTGGCTTGGGCTCACAAACCTGGAAGTCAAACTGCCTAAACCCTGCTTGCAATTTACAGTTTATTGTAGCTAAATTAATAGCCAAACAGTACTGGGGCAGTGTTAAATTATTGAGTGTAAGTGATTGCTAGGTTCATGACTTGAGTGATTTGAGTGTCCTTGTGGCACAAATTCTGGCAGACTTGTTTCATTGCAGTCATTTTGGGTAAAAGTAAAATCTTCCACATTACTCTGTTGCCAGTGACAATGTAGAATCTGCATTTAGGTATGGATTCTCTCAACAATTCTGCAGAAGTTTATCCTTTCTAGTTCAGGAGTTAATTTCTTTCTCATTTGGTTTTCTTAGGTTCTCGAAGCCGGCACCAATGTTCTTGGACGATTCCTTCAGGAAATGGGCACGTATCAGGGACTTTGTACCCCCTTTTGGAATTAAAGGACAAGGTATGAGAAAACTGCAGCTGTTGGTGAAGGTGCTCTGCAGATGCTGGCCCATTTTCTTTTCCATTTTGAAAACTCAGGTGGTCCTTTGGGCACAGTTTGTTTCCCCTGTTTGAGAGAATTATTGTATATGTAGTTCTCAGAAATGCAGAAGGGTTTTTGCAGCTGGACTGTGGACCTAAGAGGCTGGCCTTAGGGAAGATGGTTTGGTACATGTGGAGAATCAGTGCAACAATGGCAATTCAGACCAACGACCACATTCTAGAAGAAACATTTTGACACTGCCTGCCCAGAAGACCTTGTAGCAGCTTTGCTGTCAACAGCAGAGGGTTCAAACTGGTTTGAAGTACCTTTAAGTCAGTAATTCTCTAAAGAACAGGAAAGATGCCTTGGGCTTGACCATTAATCTTCATTGTCTTATCATAGAATTTTATAGTTGGTCTACTTATTTACTTATATAACAAATAAAAAAAGTAAGTTCAGATGCTTTGATGATAATTTTAATATGCCCTATCCTCCAGCTGGAGCGAGGCAGAAGGAGCTATGCCTCAGACGTGCTGTGGGAAAGCAGGAGTGGTGGTTGGTACATGAGATGGGAGCCAGTAGGCCACCCAGAAGATAATCTGTTTTGGGGTGACAAGCTCCCACTTGTCCCACGTGTGCAATCACAGCCTCTCTGTCCAAGTGGTGGTGGAGCAGAAGGCTTGTGCTCACTGCCATGATTTGCTGTAGACTATCTGAGGTCCTGTGTATTTAATAAGTTTTTGTGACATTGCATCAACTTGGAATTTTTTTTTTCCACTGACAAACTCAAGATTACAGATATTCCAGTAGGAATTTAAATACCTGGTGGATAAAGAACTGCAGCCACAGAAAGCTTGGATCTGTGTCTCTCCCTGGAAGCAGGTGTGGTAGCTGTGGAACAATCTCTGATCAAATCAAAGGCTCTACTGACAAATTGCTTTTGGCTTACATCAGTTCCCTTCTTTGTTTTGTCCATTCCTTGTCCAGTCAGTCTTCTGCAGCTCAATAGGAAGCTAATTACTGTCCTCTAAATCAGCCAGGGGAGTTTGCAGCAAAGAACTAACAGTGGCAGCACAAGTGGGAGGCTGCTGTGACCACAGGAGGGCTTGTCCCCTTCTAACCAGCACACAAGGTGTACAAAGCTAGGGCAAGATGCCTGGCCAGTGTGGAGGTGGGATTTGCAGGTTACATGTGATGTCAGCTAGACCTAATAAAAATCATTCAATTAAACTGAATCCAAATGGAGAAATTCACCAAAAGAGAATGACAGAATGGCTCTGGCAGCCTTCTCTCTGGGTTTGTTGCCAGCTTGTATCACCACTGCAATGTTATGTAAATCTGCTGTTTTATATTGGATTTCCTCAGTTAAAAAGAGAAATGAGAAATTGCCATTATTTAAATGGCTGTGAGCTGAAGCCATGGGACGGAAACTGTTGAATAGGTTATTTTTTTAACACCCTCCTGGGACCGAATTTTGTGCCAAGTTTCAGTCTAGAGCAAGTTCTGTGTGTGTGGGAGGGTTGAATTATAAATCTGTGTAGCCCCGAATTTCTAATGGCTGCGCTGACAGGCTGTGAGTCCTAGCGATGCGAATGGCGCCCTTTCATGTTACACATCACTTGGAATTCTTGCATCAGTCTTTTCTGGCTCTCCCATGGGATGCATTTGGGCTCAGACAACTGATTGGATGATGGAATCAGCACCTCATTAGGGCTTTCAGTCAGGGCAATCTAATGATATCCAAACAAATGATCCAGGCAGGCAGCGTGGAGCTCAGTCATGTGCTGGTGCAAGGTGAAGACTATCAGAGCTGGGATGTGCATGGGAAAAGGAGTAGTCAGGGTGGCTGAGAAAGTGTAGAGAGATGTGGCTGTGTTGAAACAGATGGGGCGGGAGCTCTGCTCTGTGTGTTAGGCAGCTCCGTGACACTGTCAGCTGGGATTTCCGACGTGCACCACACTGGGAAAGGTGGATGGTGTTTATAGACACCGACTGAGCTGAGATGGTGATGGGAAGACCTTGCTGAGAACTGTGGTGAATATCACCTGCTGTTTTTAAGTCACTGTGATCTGTGCCAAGTGCAAAATGGCTTTTTGTTTGTTTGGGTCTTTTTGGGTCTTTTGAATTTGGTTTTTTTTGTGTTTGAAGTAGAGCTACAGGATGAGCTCACTTTCAGTGATGCTACATGTTCCAAGGAACTTCTAGAAACTAATCTGTAGTAGCTTGAAAATGCTACAGTTATGAAACTGAAGGATTGTCAGTAGCTTGGAAGCTAATCCACCATTTCTACTTTCTTTTGTTAAAGTTTCTATTCTTACCCAAGTTTTACTTTGCTTTGTCTCTGAAAAATAGCTTTTTTATCCATCACTTTGTGTTTACTGATCCAAGAAAGGATAGTTCCAAGATTGCAAGAATGAGTCTTGCAATATTTAGGGGAAAGCAGTTTTTGAGGAGTATTGTCTACTGGGCTGCACTAATTTGGAATAACACGTCTCTGTAAATTACATGTAAAAGAGTAGAAATGGCTCAGAAATTTTCAGGGCAGGACTACTGCTCTTTAAAGGTTATCATATCAAAGAGAAGGCAGTATGCTGATCATTTTGACACAGTCCATCAGAGATTTTCATTTTCTTTGATGAGAATCTGATTGTAAAGACAGCTCTCCTATCTCCAGATGCTTAAAGATACTCAGTACAACATAGAAAGTTCAACAGTGCTTCTTTGTAAAAGATTTCTCACTCCTTCACTACAGGGGTTATTTTCTGATTTGGCCATCAGCCCAGGCAAGGAGGTTTTATGGACAGAGTGCTCCAGTCTTGGCAAGAGCATTCATGTGTAGAAGCCCTCAAGGTGAATATGGTCCTGCATATGAAAGTTTTTAGACTTTCCCTGAATGCTGCTGGTTGTGAAATGGATTAATGCAGTAGAAATACTGCACATCCTGTGTCAGATGGGAAACTGCTGCTATTGTCAGTTAACAGCCTTAGTGATTACTCGCATTCTGTGAAAGAGGCACAGAATAAGCAGGTGGCAACCCTGCTGCTTTCTGAGATGAAGCATGTGGTATGAAGTCTCGTGTGAACTCTCTTTGAATGCTGGTTCTGAGAGTCCTCAACTAGGTATTAGAAATAGATCAAGAGGAACTTAAGAGCAGCTGTTGTACCTTTTTCTTAACCTGTCTTGAATGGGTAGAGTTTTAGTATATGTTCTAGTTGTTGTCTGTTCACCAAAGATCTGGACCAAGGATTGGTCCGAATTACTTGATCACAATGCCAAGCAACCTGGGACAAAAGCAGAGGTGAGAGCTGTCAGGAGTGTTGGAGCTGATCCAGTAGGTTGAAGATGATGTTGCATTCATCATAGGTGTCTGTAGCCCTTGTGGAAACTCTGGCTTCTTCTGTGTGCAGAGAATAGGGGAAATAGTAGGTATGAAGAGGTGTGATTATGTTTTGACACCATAAGTGGTCACTACCAGTACCTAGTTTGGCCATTCATGTAACAGTGGCTCTAGGTTTTACCCAGTGGCTTCTGCAGCTGGCTGTGTACTTATGAGATAATATTTCAGAATCTGGACCAAGCTTTTCTAAATGAGGAATGCCCGTGTTGACAAACAGGCCAGTGTCATGTTTGACTGCACTTTTAGAAACTGAGATGGTCTGCCACATCGAACTTGTTGTCCCCTACTGTGGGATTTGACAGAGTCTGGAAACGGGATGGGCCACTCTAAGTGCTTGGAAACGATGACTCCGTCTCTATTAATAAATAAAGTGGTTGTCCTGTGGTCGTGAACGCTGTTGAGCTCATTGTTCAAACAGATTAACTCCCTGCCCCCCACAAAAATAGAGTGGCTATGTCCAGGCTTCCTATCAAGAAAGGTCACTGGCCTGTATTAGCCTGTGAATGCGTGAGAATTGTAGAGGAGGATGTTTGTTGGCCCTGGTGAACACATCTGGGACTGTGCTGACACTTTATTAGTATGGACTCAAGTAGGACCGTGCAGGCCCATGCCCTGCTGCCAATTTGTTTGCTGCTGTGTTTGTAGCCAAAGTGAGGAACTTGATGAAATTGGTCAACTCTCACAGTTGTCGAGAAGATCAAACTGTAACAAGATGTTGGAACTCTAAAAGCTCCAAATGTCAAGGGTTCCTGTGGGGGACAGCTCCAGCCTCCCAGCACTCTCCTGCATCCCAGGCTATTGTTTTGGCATTAACTAGAATGTTGGAGTGCCTCCCATGTTTCACCATTTGCAAGGGTATAATTTGCTTGTAGGAATTCTTTCCCAGCACCCACCAAGTCTGTAGTTGCAACTTTTTTCAGTGAAGAGCAGGGAGACTGCAGGATTCTTGGGCTCTTAAACGAGTCACATGGAGTTTTTTAAAATCTAAATTGAAATGTCTTCCTTTGGATTTGCACCTTTTTCTAGCAGTGCTTCTATCAGAGTTATTATGGAGATATGAATATGCCCATGCTGTCCATGTAGTTGCAGAGATTCTCTAGCATGGGCACTGCTCTCAGGGTTAAATTTGTCAATGAATAAGCAATGGAAAATTTGTTTATAGTGTTAGTAAGATTATTAATCCCAGGGGGCCTCCTCCCCAAATTTACCTCTGTAGCTAAAGCAAAAGGAAAGAGTTATTTGGAGAAGGGCAACAAACAAGACTGGAGAAATACCTGACTATTAATAGAATTTCTCAGTACATGTGGTTTCAAGAATATAAAAGGCTTTCTGAAGAAAGAGTAGCTAATATCTGGCATCCTCTTTGTGTAATGAGGACGGGAGAGTTGCTGCAGTTTTTTGGTTTTTTAACTTAAGTGAAAACATATGGCACAGCATACACTAAAAAACTAAACAGATGTGATCAGTGTAAGATCTCCTCTATGCATTTAGTTAGTAATTGTCTCACTGCTTAGCAGTAATTGTAGGTATCACTTCCACCTTTGTTCCTGCTCAGTTGTTTTGAGCAGAGAGGCTGCTTTTT